ATAGGAGATTCAATTCTGTGATCATTTTCTTAACTTTTCCTACTCTGTAAACGGTGAGAAGAACCAAAACTATAAACAGGCAAATCTGATTGAATGTAGAGTCTATGCTTTATACCTTTATCCATTAAGGTGAGTTGTTCAAATCATAGACTCAATAGAATTCTACTTATATTTTTGCAACAACAAACATTCTTGCATTGATTATGGCTATAAAACTATGTCTTGAATCGCTGGTAATAGCTTGCTGACTAGAAGGACATAGCATTTTGCCGGTTCTGGTAAAAGTGTGGAGCAACTTCTGTCAGCCAAGAAGGATTAATGGTGACGACATTCCGCATGTATTGACGCTCTGTTGAGACGATGGATTGGTAAACCACCCATTTCGGATTCACCCTGAAGATTGTACAAAGAGTATATATACCAAATAAGCTTTCACATTCAAAAGAAAATCTTCAATTTTTTTGATGTTATTAAGGTTTTTGCTAAATCCATAGCAACAAGATACTACTGACCTGAATAATACGGATGATGGGTGAATATAAACTTCTTCAGAGCCTCTAATGGTCTTGTATACTCCATTGCTGTGTGGCTAAAACATCATAAAAAAATTAAAGAAGACGAAAATTTGATTTCTTAATAGGACCGAAAGGAAGTGCAGAAACAGAGAACTGAAACGGGTCACTTACTTCTAAGCGGCATGCATTGGCAAAAAACCCTGCAGTCACGGCTTTTCTCACAGCCTGAAACAGTGTAACATTAGAAACCTGCAACCTTTTTCAACTGAATTAAAGTGCTACAGTTTCTTACCTCCATGTCTCTGTCACATGATTTCAAGGTGATGCCTAATCTCCGAGCAATCCGTTTGAGTTGATCCCTGATTTCAACTACTTTTTTCTGAGAAAGGAAACCAAAACAAATTAAATTGGAGAAGGGAAAATACGGACTACTTGTCAGTTCTGTTATTATACGCACCATTGATTGGTAGTTGAGGAAATTCTTGTAACACCACTGTGAAGGCTTTTTCGAGTCAAGAAACCCTTTGTATACATTCAGGAATGTGACATGGTCACCCTATATAGACAAGAGCAATGATTTTACTCAGTCAAGATTATCAGATATATCGTTAGCTTAAAGTTATATAGCAATATATACCTCTGCGGCTGCAAATCTCAGTTTTGCTTCATCTTGTTCTTTCTGTACTCCCCTGGCAATGATCCAAACAGACTGCATAGAAACATATTCAAGATTGCATCCGTTTAGTTTCAAATCCCATAGTTCATGTCGAAGGCAAATAATCACAAATTTGCAATATGTCCTTATGCAATCAAAGAGAAGAAACTTTAAGCAGAGGAAAAGGGGTAATGAGCTTTTACTTGGATAGAGAGAACTGCAGCGATTGTAATGATCTCATCTGAACAACCAAGCTCACTTGAAGCCAAAATCATTTTTGATATCATTGGGTCCTAGCAAAAAATGATGAACATGAGACATGTAATAATGCAGAAGAAACTGCAAATGAACATTACATTTTAGATATATAATAACTCAAGGTCAGGAAGAAAAAGTACCAGTGGAAGTTCTGCAACTTGGAATCCTGTTGGCGAAGTGAGTTTAGCATCATCATCGAGGATCTGAAGTGAATAAAGTACTTCAAGCGCTCGGATCATTGCTTGAGGGGATGGAGGTGCAGGCCAATCGAAACCCAAGATATTATCTATGCCCAGAGCTTTTAGCTGAAAAAAACCAAAAAATCAACAGAGCTTGGGCAATCTAGAAGCAAGAGCTTCCTCTCATCTGGATATTAATTACTTAATAGAAAAGGTGAAGAGCTTGAAATAAAAAACTTATGTCTGGTTTTGCATAACGCCTCCCAAATTTTGAGTTCTTATAAAAAAGCTAAATGACAAGAATTGAGCAAGTTTAGTACCTGTATTACAGTAGAAACAAGATTCGACCTCTGCATCTCCGGTATGCCTTCCCCAGGCATTTGGTTGAGAAAATAATCTTCGGTGTAAAGCCTAATTACCATAAAAATATCAGGAAGAGGATTAATGAGCACGAAACCACTATATCAGACACAATCCTGTCACTTTTATAAACAGATAGAGAGTTACCTGTAACACTTCCCAGGCCGAACTCGCCCAGCCCTACCAGACCTTTGCCTTGCAGATGCTTTGGATATAGGTGCCACCACAAGACTTTCGATATCCGAAATCTGTGAGGGTAAGAGATGTAAGATGCATTAGAAATGTCCAATATATTACAAAAGATGGAACTAAAAAATATAAACAAAAGAAATGGATATGTACTTACTGGGTTATAGAACTTCTGCTTCGAGAAACCACTATCAATCACATAGACAACACCCTGAATAAGATTTGCACAGAAAGTTATAATCAATGCTTCAGCAATATCTATATGAGAAAAACATCCGTTTGTTCCATGAGATTTGCAACGAAAAGACAGTAATGAAGAATCCTTGCCTCCAGAGTCAATGAAGTTTCAGCAATATTTGTTGATAGTATAACTTTTCTCTTTCCTCTGGGAGTTGGAGTAAAGATCAAATCCTAATATAAAGAAAGGAGAAAACAACATTTCGCGCTTTCAGTTTTTCAAATACTCTCAAAAGTATGGGTCAGCTTGTATAGAGCCTTGCAACAAAAATCAACCTGTTCTGATCGAGAAAGTCCTGAATATAATGGCAGAGGTAGCAGCCCTGAAAAAGATATGAATTATAATATGGTGCTTAAAACTGAAGGCAAATGCTAGACATGATCTTATTTATGTGTATATAAACATTTATTATACCTGAAGAATTCTTTTGATTGCTATGAGCTTCTTCTTCAAGAAGTTTAATAGCAGTTTCGATATCCTCTTGACCAGTAAGAAATACAAGAACATCCCCAGGTGGCTCCTGAACATAAGAAGAGACAATTTAAAGATAAACAGCCAAGGAACACATCGGATGGTTAAAAGAATATCAAATCAAAGTACCCGCTCATTAATCAACAGTATCGTTGAAACAACTGATCGGATATAATCTGATACAGGCTCCTCAACATAGTGAATTTTCACACTGAAGCCTCTGCCCTAAGAAAATTTCACCAAGAAAACAAAAATATCTAAATATCACATTAAAAAAAAAGGTTAAGAGAGAATGATCTTACGCAAGATAAGAGTTATAATATACCTCAACAGATAAGATTGCAGGTTCTAACTTTGGTCCAGGGGCACTACCTTCTGGCGCATGGCGTTTTTTGCTATTTATTTCATTTAACATAATGTATAAGATTATATGGTACTAGTTATTCCAAGAGCCCTAAACTTCGGGACAAAAGAACTATAACCATTGGGTAAGATCAGAACCTGGGATTAAAGAAATTGAACATTGTTTTTGCTTCGATTGTGGCTGACGATATAATAAGGCGTAGCTCAGGACGACGACGTTGTATCTGAAATCAATAATTAATAGTTGTTGCTGAAAGTACACTAACAACTAAGACTATGTTTGACTGAGATACCTTTTTTAAGAGACCGAGTAAAATGTCAGTTGAGATAGATCTCTCATGAGCTTCATCTATCATAATAACACTGCGCAATGACAAATAAGAGAAGGTTTTACCAACACGATTTACTCATAATCTGAACAGATTATACGGTGCCAAAAAATCATTACCTATACTTTGTCAAGAGAGGATCCTCCATCATCTCTCGAATTAGTACCCCATCTGTGAGAAATTTCACCTTAGTCACACCCTGTTCTAACCAATCAAAAGATCTTGTAAGCATCATCAGAATAATCCATACTAAAAAAAGTGGAAAAGCGTTAAGGGAAGAGTCTCACGGAAGTTGTATGATCTTCAAATCGAATAGTGTAGCCAACTTCCTCCCCAAGATTCACTCCCATTTCCTCGGCCACTCTCGCAGAAACCGCCTAAGCAAATTACAAAACAAAGACTCTATGTGATCAAGCACAAAATCCAAACTTGAGCTGAGATATCACTCTTATTCACTCTTTAAACTTGAGTTGTAAGATTTGGTTTAGGGAGAGAAAACAAACCTGGACAGCTAAACGTCTTGGCTGTGTACAAGCAATAACTCGGCCTCCTTCAGCCCATCCAGCTTCTTTCAGGTACTACAAAATATCATAAACAAAGCATTATCAAAACATGTAGGCAAGAAACAAAAAGATCTTGCTGTTGATCGAATTGTAGTTTTCTCCAATTCTCCAACTTCCCCAACAGCTATTGAGCTAAACATTGCAAGATTTTGCAAGATTGAATAAATTTTGTGCCTCTCTAGCTACATTGGAAATACATCAGCAAGTTACAATTACAATTTACAATTCAAATTCGAAACCTTTCGACTCCTATCAAAATTTGCCTACTGGTCTAAGAACCCTGAAATTACCAAAGCTAGGTGCTTTCCCCCAAAAAATTAACCAAGAACAAACCTGAGGAATCTGAGTGGTTTTTCCACTGCCCGTCTCGCCAACGATAATGGTGGTAGCGTGATTCTCCACCAAATACAAAATCTCAGTCCTGTACTTGTACACCGGCAATCTCTGTCTTTGCTTCTCTATATTTGCATACCCATAACTACAATTTCGACTTTAAGTTATAAGAGCAAACACAATCATCTGCAGAACAAGTACGGCCAAAGAGAAAGAGAAATTGCCCTACCTAGAAGAAGAAGAGGATGCGAGATTGTTGGACATGAACACTATGCCTCCTTCTCCATCTTCTTCGAACCTAGGTTTCTCGGTCCCTGGTTTCCAAAACGCCATCTTTTCTTCGCCCAAGAGCTTTGCTTTCTTCAGTTATTTCAGTTTATGACAAAGCTTTTTCTCTCTTATATGCTTTTGGTTGTTCACAGCGACGGCGACACGGTTGCCGGCGATTTAGAGGTTCGGTTTAATTTGTTAATCATTTCGGTTCAATTTCAAATTTTTCAATTTGGTTCGGTTTAGTATCGGTTTTATGTTCATCCTTCCTTGGGAATTGAGATTATTAACAATAAAAAAAAAATGTATCGTCTTGCTTCTTCTTCTCAGACCACTTCACTCCATTACAAGCTCTCACCTTTACTCCTCCGCCGCAATCGCCGCAGCCACCAAAGTCAGCGACTTCACCGTCGGAATAATCAGATTAGAGCAATGAGAGCTGTAATCCAGAGAGTCTCATCTTCCTCTGTTACAGTGGATGGTCGAATCGTATCGGAGATTGGTCCTGGTCTCTTGGTATTAATTGGAATCCATGAATCAGATACCGATTCTGACGCTGATTACATGTATGCTTATAATTACATTTATCTTAGTTCTTCCATTTTAGATTATCATTATAATGTTTGCAGATTCTGACATTTTTAAACATATATTTATAGATGTCGAAAAGTTTTAAACATGAGATTGTTCTCTAATGAAACCACTGGCAAAGGATGGGACCAAAATGTAAGTTTTGTTTCAACGAATTTGCTTTTCAAGATATTTTATGAAAATGAAAACTTTGTTGCGGTTTTTTGCAGGTGATGCAGAGGAATTATGGAATTTTACTTGGTAATGCGTCTGTTTATTATGCTTTACCTTTTGATTAGAGAAAGATTTAGCTTCTGCTTATTGCACTGAGATTTGACTCTTTTGCCTTCTCTGGTCTTTGGATCATGTGTTACTACAGTTAGTCAGTTTACATTATACGGATTCTTGAAAGGTAACAAACCTGATTTCCATGTCGCAATGCCACCTGATAAAGCGAAGCCGTTTTACGCCTCTTTAGTCGAGAAATTCCAGAAAGCATATAATCCCGATGCAGTAAAAGGTAAAACACACTCTCATTGATCTTTTCTTGACCCAAACTTCACATTTTCCTCCTGTCTTCTTGACTGAATTGGTTCACTTTTCAAACAGATGGTGTGTTTGGAGCTATGATGCAGGTAAGGAGATAAATCCTTTCAATAGCAAGGTTTAGTTTGTTATCTTGTGTGATTAAAACATGTTCTCTTGCTTAATGCTTATACATTACTTTGATCATATTAAAAGGTCAATCTTGTAAACGACGGTCCAGTCACGATGCAGCTTGAATCACCCCAATCCTCCAAGTAAGCCAAGATTTTTTGCATAAGCTTATCAGGCATTGATTTGCTACTAAAGCAAGTCTTTGATTTGTTCCAGAAATGAGACAAAGGCATCAACAGAATCATAAGATCACTCATCTTGTATCGGCAAAACTATAGTAGAATATATAAATTCATGTGAAACATTCATAATTCATTGGACTGTAACTCTTAATTCCTACATTACATGTACCTTCCTTGCTTTTAATCCAATGCAAGCTTCTAGATTTGTTAAAATCTTGATTCCTAGATGCCTTATGCTTTTGCCTTGAGTACCATTCCTGCAGTAAACAACACTTCTTTCCCAAACGGTAGAATCTCGATTTTCCTATAAGAACCATGAAACTTTCGATTGGACAAAGGAAAGCGCTATAGTATCGATTGTACAAAAAAAAAAAAAACTGAGAGTAAAAGAAACTGCAGCTTACTGATCTACTCGCTTTAGACTTGTAAATGCAGAGATGATTCTATTGCATATCTCTGTAATAGAGTCTTCTTCGTTAGGGTCAGAGAATGTAAGCCTAGCCTGACAAATGGTTAAATACATTAGGGGAAGGCAAAAAAAAAGCTCTGAGAATGTGAAAGAAGAAACAAAGATATTATAATTACCAGAAAGGCATGTCCGATGAGGATCTGAACAATGTCAGGTCCTATCTTTTTAGTGATGTTCTTTGCATTTAAGCCATTTGAAAATGTCTTCAAGATCCCATTTAGTGTTTTCGAATCCTCTGCTTGAGAAACAGTTGTTCTTCGGGTACGAACAGAAGGCTACAACCAGAAAGGAATTTGTCAGAGAGAGAAGTAACTATAAATTCACACCAGCGAGAAATCAGAGAATTAACAACAAACCTTAGGGATGTATTTGGTAAGGTATTGGAGAATAATCTCTAGCTTCCATTTAGGATCATCGAAAACCTGATTGAGAAATTTTCACTCAAGAACCACAAAGAGAAGAATTCACAGAGCACAGAGAGTTTCAGAAGTGGTTTGTCTCTTACCTGTAGAAAATTTGATAGCAAGTATCCATTATAAGTCAGCTCGTCGAGAATGATCTCCATTGCAGGAGTCCTGCATCAAACTGGATCACAAACATGGCAAAAACAATTCAAAAGAGAGGCAGAAATTCGAATACCTTACGCCATCTCCTCTAGAGGTAATCCCTTCTAAGTCAGCTTTCTTCTTTGAAGAATCAAGCTCAATGATCTAAAAAGGAACAGAAATGTAAGAGAAAAAAGCACCAAAAATCGAAACACCAAATACTCTGGTAACTGACAACTTACCATTACTAGTAGTTCCTTCATAGCAGAAAGCGTGTCCTTGTGCAATTCTACCAAACTGATCGACTTTTCATCAGCATCAATGGGTGCACACATTGTTGATAGATAATCTTTCATTAGAAGTTTGAAATTCACTTTTCGTGAAGCCTACAAGCGGAACCATAACATTAAAAATCACAGATAATTAAGACTATACTAGTTTCTAAGCCATTGATTGTGGGATGTACCAGAAGTAGGTTCAGAGAAGATTCCTTCAAAAGACTCCAGTTCTTGGTTTCTGGCGCACAAAACCTCTAAGAATTTCCCCGAACTTAACAAGATAAAGAGAAATCTTAAAACTATGAAGACATAATCTGTACCTTCATACACTTGATTCCGGGGCGTGAAATCTAGCTTAAGAACATGAGCAAGATACTTGAACAGAAACATATTCCCCAGAGTCTGCAGAAATCCAAACAAAAGAAGCAAGAACAACAAGTTAAGTGAAACTCCACCAATTTTTTAAGCTTATCTGCAACATAACAAATAAACCAACCTTTAAATTCGATTCCTCAGGCTCACTAACCCTTTTGTTCATGTTTTGAATCAGCTGTTGAAAAACTAAAATCACAAAACAAAAAAAAAGATCATATTTAGCAAGAACCAACAAAAAGCTAACTCAAAAGAGAAGACAAACGTCCTTACATAAGCTTCTCACTGATATATCCTTTTCATCAGAATCAACATCAGACCCGAAATTAAACGGTGACCAAGCCTGCAAAACAAACACATGAAATCAACCATCCTCACCATAACTAAGAATGGACAAAAACACATCAAAACTTTTGTAACAAGTACCTCGTCAACAATTTCCAACTGATCAGATGAATCAGATACATAAACCCAAGGAAACCGCTGAAAACAAAACAAAATCATAAAGCTAAAAATTGAAACTTACACAAGTTTTGAGACAAATTCACTACCAAATTTGCATCAAAGTACCTGATGTAATTGTGTCAAAAGCTGGAAACTTGCTGTTATAAGTTCCAGTGTTTTACCAAATCTCAATATCCGGAAAATCGCTTGGTACATTTTGCTTCAAATTAAACAAAACCCAAATCAAAATCATGATTCTTTTGAGGCAAAAACTTCAAATTTCTTAAAAAATAGTGCTTTTTTTTTTTTACTTGGTTGGAGGAACTCCATTCTCAGGTACAAGTGAAGCAGAACGAACAGCTTCCAGATACTGCAAACCTAGGGTTTCATTTAACGGATCAATACAATAACAAAAACAAAGGAGATTGTCATAAACGAAGACGAAGATTGAAAAATTGAGAAAAACGTACGATCTTCGTTAGCGTCGCGATTGTCTTTAGCTCCGGTGGAATCAAGCATAGCCAAGGTGTTTGCTTCTAAGCCACCGCCATAGCTACTCATCACTCTGCTAGTATTGTTAGCCTTTGTCTCTTTCGACATCTTCTCTTTCACAATTTCTCAGGAAAAAGGAAAACGAGAAGAAGAGATTGAAATCTTAACCCAAAATTAGAACGGAGAGAGATTCGTAGAAACCCTAATAGTCGAAAGAAGGCAATTTTCCCGCCACAAGAGAATTGTTCCCCAAAAAAAAACCATAGAGAGGAGCTTGAACCCGGGCCTCGAGGGCGTGAGAACGAAGTCTTCAAAACCAACTAGACTTCAACAAATTTTGTGACACGTGTCTAACTTATATTCACTTATTTAAATGATTAGGACAATACTTGGTTGAGAATTGTAATTTCAATGAAACTATGAAAGCATGATTAGTGATTTTGTTGGCAAAAAATAAAAAATGTATATTATAATTAATACTTTTGTTTTTTTACTCTAGTTTATTTATTTGGAATGGTGATTAACAGTTTTTAATAAATTTTTATTTTACATGAACTGGGTTCGTTTTAAAAATACTTGTAAAGCTCACGAGATTGAATAAAAAAGTTTAACAAATGACCAACTTAAGATCGAGCAATTGCAACAATCTTTAATGTTCGTGTTGGGTACAAACCAACGTCTCACATCGAAAGTTTAGAAAATAAGATTCTAATATATAAGTATAGTCCAACTCCAATTAGTATGAGACATTTTGGAAAGGAGCTCAATAACAAATTCGTGCGGGCTTGAACATGTAGACCCAAAACGGACAATATCATACTAATGGAGGAGTTAGATTAGGCTTAAAAAACCCAATAGCTCGATCAAACACCTGTATAATGAAAGGAGATGTATTGAATAAAGAATTTTGACTGATTTTTATTGATATGACAAATCTTATGTTATTTAAACATGAATTTTTAAAAGTTTCTTTTAAATCAAATGTTATTAGATTAGTAATCTTAAAATGTACAATTTTTTTGCTTCAACGCATATGTATGTACCTATACGAGCCGAAGCAAGAAACTCTCCTGGTGGAGAACGAATGAATCTTACAACAAGAAGCTATAATATTTGAGATGACGTGAACCTATCATAGAAAGTAGGCCTGGGCACGAATCGGATATCCGGAAAATTTGGGATATTCGTTATTCGATTCGATTTAACCGAATACTTGATTTTGTGATTTGCTTTGATCCGAAAATTTCTGGATATTCGGAATATCGAATATCTGGGTTTTTTTTGTGATATTTGCGGATATCCGCTTCGATACTTCTGCACTTATTAAAACCCTAAAAAGCTAAGCGCTCGCATGTAAAACTACGAAGAAAAATATAAAATTTTGAGAAAAAGAAGTCGTCACAGGATTCCAACTTCTTATTTTTTAGGGATATTGATTTTTTTTTTAAGAAATTCCACTTCACTAATAAAAACTATTAAATTGTGTCACAAATACAAGAAGGATAAAAAAGAGTTTACAAATACAAGCCAAAAATATATTACGATATACATATATATATATATATATATCGAAAAATACGAATCGAAGCGGATATCCGACTTTTAAAAAAACAATATTTGTTATTTGCTTCGGTTTTTACGATTACTATATTTTCCTATTTGATTTGCTCCAAAATATTACGGATATTCGGATTTTTCGAATCGAATCAAAACGAATACCGAGTCGAAGCGGATCTAACGAATATTTTGCCCAGACCTAATTAATAGAAAGTATCTCATTATATAAAGATCTTAATCTCTTTTTTCCATTTATAAGCTATGTTTCAAAGCGTGTGGAATTGATATATAGTTATATCTTAGTCAGTTTGGAAATATTAAATTTGTACATGATTTCTATTCTATTCGCCTCTCATCATTGTGTCAAATCTTTGGACTTACGGGAAATGATCTCATACAAATTACTTATACTTGGAGAAAAGGTTAGTGATGACTCAACTTTTACATTTTTCTTATTTCGTTTTCACATTCTGATACCGTTTTTTTTTTTTTTTCATCTGGTAGAATATATATTGATGTTAAAAAGTTGTTAATCAATCTTGAAACCTTCAAGATGAAATAGACTAGGCGCTAGAAGGACTAAACCTAGAGTACCAAAAGAATTTAGCCAAAGAAGAGAACAGAGGCCACAGCCAAGAAAGCAAAAACATTTAAGAGGAGACTCTCTCATCACAAAAAACACCATGAAGCCAAAAAGGGTGTCCCGAAGCCACATAAGAATGGATTCTAAGATCAGAAGTAACGGATTGTGCTATGAGAGCTGCTCCTCTATTTGTTGCTGCAGATTCAAGATCCAATTTGCAGTCCTCAATCTTATCCAAAAAATAGTTAACTTCCGCCACTTGATGAGAGAAAGATGGCCAAGCAATCGGTCTTCTGAAAGCTCCAATGATGTCTTGAGCTTCAGAAGCAAAGATAACCTTGTTGAAATGCAGAGAATGCATAGACTCAATGGCCCAAGTAATAGAGCACAAATGAGCTTCAGTCTGATACCGTTTAGTTATCATTTTTTTATTACGTTTAGTTATCATTATTTTATATTCTCTAGGCAATAGGTATTAAACTGTGATCGTATAGTAAATAATAACTGTCAACAAACTTAACAAAACCATAAACTGAAGAATTAGAAAGCTAAATAAGTATTGGGGTCATCAATCTAACAGTAGAAACTTAATTTAGAAGCTACATTTCTTTTTATAACCAAAAAAAAATAGTTGAAATTCTTTAAAATGCGACGAGCGTGGAACGAAACATTAAAAATAATAAATTTATGTTTGATCCAATAATTATAAAAATAATTATGTTTGTGCCTCTGGTGGGAACACGTCATAGATTCTCATGAAGCGTTAAACTGAAGATTAATATGTTTATTACAAAGTAAATTAATACTCTGCATCTAGTCCTTTTAAAGAGTACACAATCTGCATTTTTTTGCTGAAAAGAGTACACAATCTTTATACTTCATATTTAAGTAACATTATTAAATTAATTAATTGAAGTTGACTTAAGATGATGTATTCACATAATAATGATACGTGTGTGTGTAGACAGAAAAACCCTGATATTATGTGGAACCTAAAACCCTCCATGAAATGAGGTGGTCAGTACCTTGGAACACAAGTTTTACCAACTGTACTTCCCAATTATCCTGCCGCAGATTTCCCATTCAACGCACACATAATCCCCAAAGCAACAATCTCTTTAAAATGCCCTAAAATCTCACCAACACATATTCCTCTCTTCCAACAATGGCTTTTGGCAATATCCAAGAACCAGACGGAGAGATCCTAGAGAATGTTTGGGCGAATTTCATCAGAAAACCACAAACCGATAAAAGATCAATTCATGTTCCAGAAGTTTCTAGAACTTGGGGAGCGTTGCCTACCCTTGATGACATACCAGAAGATTCTAAAGAAATGCTTCCAAGCCTAGATATGTCGATGGAGGACCTGGAATGGACAGAGATTCTCGATGTGATCGCTTCTTTCCCGAGCGAAACCAATCATGACCCATTAACCAACCCTACCACCGATTCTTGTTTTTTGCCTTCTCGGGTTTGTTGCAAAACAAGAAAATACAGGGGAGTACGGAGGCGTCCGTGGGGGAAATTCGCAGCAGAAATCAGGGATTCGACGAGAAACGGTGTTAGGGTTTGGCTCGGAACGTTCCAAACAGCAGAAGAGGCAGCTATGGCTTACGATAAAGCCGCGGTTAGAATTAGAGGAACTCAAAAAGCGCACACGAATTTTCAACTCGAGACGGTTATTAAAGCTATGGAAATGGATTGCAACCCAAACTACTACCCGATAAACAGCTCGAATACGTCCCAGCCATTAAGAAGTGGCCACAAAATTGGATTGAGAACGAGAAAAGAGGCGATTAGGGCTTATGATAAAGTCGTTGATGAGTTGGTTGAAAACCACTGTGCCCTTAGTTGTTGTTCAACTAAGAAGTACTCGGAGACGTGTGGGCTGCTTGGGAGTGAAGAAACTTGGTTAGGTTCAAGAAAGAGACGAAGGAGTGACAAAGATTATATGTTTGAAGAAGTTGAAATGCAGAAGATGGTTACTGAACAAGAAGAGACATTATGTGATGTGTTTGGTTTGTTTGAGTTTGAGGATTTGGGAAGTGATTATTTGGACACGTTATTATCTTCTTTCTGACAGAAAAACATTAACCACCATTACGGTTGTTAATTTTCATAGTTATATAATTATGTCAAGATTTGTTTAATCGGGCCTACGGCCTAAAATATTTTAAATAGATAGATCTCTCAACTTCAAAAAGCGTCAAAAAAATGAAGCCTTGATATAAAAACAAACATCAATCTGCTTACCAAAAAAAAAAAACCAAACATCAATCTCTCGCCCTCAAGGTTTACATTTATGGCCGCCCGCTGAGACCGCCGCTTAAGGCCGTCTCCTCCGCTCTCTTCATAACCAAAAAAAAAACTCATCGCCTTGTAAGCTCGATTTTCGAATCAATTCGATCTCATATGATGTCGATCTGTTTCTACTGAAGTTAAATCTTGCGAAATCATCCTTGTTTTGTTCTGAGATTTTAGGGGTTCACGATTTGAGTTCTAGGGTTTCTCGCTTAATCTTTTCTTATGCATTTGGTTACACAATATCTCAACTTTTTCTTGACTCTGTATGCAAATTTGTCAAAATCAAAACTTTGTAACAGTTTACTCTTTCTCATGCTTGTGTTTATGTAAGAACACTGCTTCGCTTTGTGGGATTGTTGTTTTCATCACACTTGATTAAGAGTATTGAAAATTGAAAATGTTATCGATCTTGACAATAAAATTGGCTATTTGTTTTTTATTTGATATCAAAAATAAATCAAGGTGCACAGAATACATATATACAGAGACTTCAGTTTAGTATAATTAAATGTGATGAAGCCAAATAGAGCAACATATTTTAAGATTAAAGACTAAAGTCACTGATTAAAAATAAACTGAACCCATTTCTAATCTTAAACATGACATATAATTGTACTAAAATGGTATTAATAATCAGTTTTTGGTTCATTTACTTACATCAGTATATGACAAACGCTTGGTGAGATATAATTCTACACATAAAGCACATGAGTATTGTTTTGTGGTTGTCCAACATTTTTGATTCACAAACGACGATTTATATAAATTACTCCATATAATTGAAGTTAGGATTTTAATCCATATAATTGAAAGTTGAAACTATTAATAAACGTGCTCAAATAGAAAGGATAAGGCAATAAGCTAATAATAAGAATCCTCATCGAGACCGTGGGATCCATTGGATTGCTTGGGAAAAATTGTGTATGGATAAAGATAAAGGTGGTTTGAGCTTTCACTCTCTAGACACGTTTAATGATGCCATGTTGGCAAAACAGTATTGGCGATTAATACATTTTCCAAACTCCTTAGTAGCTCGAGTACTAAAAGGTAGATATTTCAGGAATATTCATCCTTTACAAGCAAAAAAACCAAACTCTCCATCGTTTGGATGGAAGAGTATATTTTCGACCAAAAGCTTGGTTGAAGTGGGAGCAAGATGGTCCCTAGGTTCAGGTTACAACTTATCAGTCTGGAGAGATCCTTGGCTTCCGGATGTTATTCCACGTCCCGCAAATGGAAGAGGAAAATTGTTACATCCAAATCTAATGGTAAACCATTTAATTAATCCGGTTACTAAAGAATGGCACCTTCCTATTCTACATGAATTTATGGATCCGGTGGATATTCAATTAATTCGAGGACTTACTATTAGTCAAGTTCAGAAGCCAGATAGGCTTATATGGCATCATACAAACTCAGGGAGATATACAGTAAAGTCAGGCTATCGGCTTGCCCGAGGGATGACTGAATCGATTGAATGGGGTCCAAATTGTAAAATTTTACAAGCACAAGCTTGGAAAGCCAAAGCCCCTCCAAAAATAAAACACTTTTTATGGCAAATCGCTTCGGGATCCTTAGCAGTAACTTCAAAATTAGCTCATCGAGAGATTCGGTGTGATATTACCTTTAAAAGATGTGAGATGGCTGAGGAAACAATTAATCATGCTTTATTTGAGTGCCCACATTCTCAAAAAGTCTGGGAATTATCCGAAATACCTATGGTATCAGGTAGTTTTCCTCTAAGGTCGGAATTCTCTAATATAGACTATCTTTATTGGAGGATACCACATCCTGTAGATGGGGCGGAGAAATCTTACTGTTATGCTTGGATTTTGTGGTTTATATGGAAAGATAGAAATAAGAAGGTTTTCAAAGGAATACAATCTGAACCCACATATATTTTAAATCACGCTTTGAGTAAAAAATTAATGTGGGAAGAAGCTCAATTGGATCCAATGGAAGATAACACTATGACGGAAATTATGGAAAGCCCAATCCAATCTATAAAATGTCGGATTGATGGCTCTTGGAAATCTTCGGACCCAACTATGGGTATAGGATGGTGGTGTTTTCAAGGAACTGATCAAACTTTGCTGCTTGGTGCAAAATGCCTTCGGAGATGTCCCTCCCACCTTCACTCGGAGTTGGAAGCTTTAATTTGGGCTATGAAGAATATCCTTTCAAGAAGAATTGATTGTCAGGCTTTTGAAACAGATTGTTCTGAGTTAGTCTCGATGGTTCAGTCTCCTGAAGAATGGCCCGCATTCTCCAATCTGCTAGACGAGTTGGAGTTGCTCCGTGTCTCTTTTCCCTTTTTCTCGCTTTCTCTTATTTCTCGTTTATGTAATATTAAAGCGGACTGTTTAGCCCGTTCTTCTAGACTTCCGTTTTCTGATGTTACTTTTGTAAACTCTTCTCCACCTAGTTGGACAACCAATCATGAAGTTACTTTTTATGAATGTGTGGTTGATAAAAAAAAAAAAAAAAAAAAAAAAGAATCCTCGTCCAATAAGCGTAATAAGTAGCGACATCAGGGGTAAATATGGAATTTAGAAAAAACAAGAAATGCGCATGTGTTTTTTAATCGGAAATCTCCTAAAAGGCTAAAACCCTTACTATATATCGGCGGTGCTTCTACTGACTCACTCACATCGTGCTTTGATTCTGGAATCTAGGTTTAAAGTTTAAACCTTTGAGATCACTATATCACAAATGGAGCTCAATTTTTCTTCAATGGCTTTAACCAACCCCAAAATCCCTTCTTTCGGTTTTACACCCACCGGAATATTCCTAAACCCATCAAAATCAGTGCGTTTGGCTTCTCATCATCGGCTTCCGAGAGTTTCATGCTCTGTTTCTACTACTGATTCTCCGAAGCTAGTGACTTCAAGAAAGGTAAGTCTTTTATAGTTTCAATCCGAAAATTGTTTGGTGGGTTTTGTTTACATGATGTGTTTGGATGTAATCTGATGTTTTTGATACGAATTGGCGATAAAATGGATATGCTTTAGGTGGTGGCAATGGCTGGAGTGAGCTCTAGAGACTTGGAGATGTCGAATTTAACGGCATTGTCGCCTTTGGATGGACGTTATTGGGGAAAAGTTAAGGACTTGGCTTCTTCTCTGAGCGAGTTTGGATTGATCTATTTCCGAGTATTTGTCGAGGTAATTGCTTTTGAAATTAAGGCTTTTTGTTACTCAAAAGTGGTCTGATTCATTGATTGAGAAGATTGGTTTTGTTCTTTTTGGTGGAGGAAGCTTGTGCAAGTAGTTTAGTTGACTGTTCTAATGCACCCATTTGCTAAAACATTGATTTTTATATACTTGCTAGATCAAATGGCTTCTGAAGCTTTCGAATATTCCTGAAGTCACTGAAGTTCCAAGCTTTAGCAAAGAAGCTCAGAGTTACTTGCAAGGGATAATCGATGGATTTAGCATAGATGATGCATTGGAAGTTAAGAATATTGAGAGAATAACAAATCACGATGTGAAAGCAGTGGAGTATTTCTTGAAACAAAAGTGTGAATCACAACCAGAGATTGCTAAGGTTTAAAAACTTTTCTCTCACTTCTAACTTCTTAGGGTTTGGTTGCTTTGATGCTCTGTAACTAAACTTCTCTGTTTTTTAATCAATCAGGTTCTTGAGTTTTTCCATTTTGCTTGCACGTCTGAGGACATCAACAATCTTTCCCATGCTTTGATGCTTCAAGAAGCACTTAGTTCGGTTATACTTCCATCCATGGATGAGCTGATCAAGTCTATCTCTCTGATGGCTAAGAACTTTGCGTATGTCCCCATGCTTTCACGAACTCATGGGCAGGTAATGTCGAAAGAGAAGACTTTCACCATTTTACCTTTCCCTTTTTTTATGTATACTGGTTCTATCTATCTCTTTACGAATGATTTTGTTACTATGAATTGTAATGCAGCCAGCTACGCCAACAACTTTAGGAAAAGAAATGGCGATTTTTGCTGTGAGGTTAAGTGAAGAAAGGAGATATCTTTCTGAAACTAAGATTAAGGGGAAATTTGCGGGTGCTGTTGGGAACTACAACGCCCATATTTCCGCATATTCGAATATTGACTGGCCTCATGTTGCAGAGGATTTTGTTACTTCTCTTGGATTAACATTCAACCCATACGTGACTCAGGTAATATAGTTTCTGTTGATCAAACAATTTTATTCAAATTCATAAAGATCCTCACTGGTTGATTGTTCTTGTGGGTTTTGCAGATTGAACCTCATGACTATATGGCTAGACTTTTTAATAATATTAGCCAATTCAACAATATTTTAATTGATTTTGACAGAGATATATGGAGCTACATATCCATGGGGTACTTTAAGCAGGCAAGTGTTAATAAATGAAAGGAAAAAATATAGTGTCAAATCATTTGAATGTGAAAGGGAAAGTCGTCTCATTGTTTGAGGTTTTGCAGACAACTAAAGCGGGTGAAATTGGATCATCGACAATGCCTCACAAAGTGAATCCTATTGACTTTGAGAACAGCGAAGGGAACCTAGGGAAAGCTAACGCAGAGCTTACTTTTCTCAGCATGAAGCTTCCCATTTCACGGATGCAGGTTTTAACATTTCTCCATATTTGTATCTCAGCTAGAGTGATGGAAGTAAACTAAGCCTGAAAAATGTACAATCTGCAGCGTGATTTAACTGATTCAACTGTCTTGAGAAACATGGGTGGAGCTTTAGGACACTCTCTTCTCGCTTACAAGAGTGCGATACAGGGAATCGGGAAGCTTCAGGTATTATTACCGTAGCCCTAAGAAATATTTCCACTTGTCATAAACTAAGAATTTTCTTGATATAGGTTAATGAAGCTCGTTTAAAAGAAGATTTGGATGATAATTGGGAAGTCCTTGCTGAACCGATACAAACTGTAAATTTCTCGACTTTCTAATCTTCTATATCGATCAAGTTATTCCATGTATCTCTAATCCACAGAATTATCATGGTATCAAAAAAAGGTGATGAGGAGATACGGTGTCCCTGAGGCGTATGAAAAGCTGAAGGAGCTAACAAGAGGAAAAGCTGTGAATGAAGAAAGCATAAGAACGTTTATCAAAGGTTTGGAATTGCCTGCAGAAGCAAAAGACCAACTTTTGGAACTAACTCCACACACATATGTTGGTGCTGCTGCTGCATTGGCACTAGCCGTGGATGAAGCTTTGCACTTGGGACATTGATGATGATCAAAGTGGTGATAGATTGTCCTCTTGTATTATGGTACTCTTTTCCAAATCAATGGAAAACAGAGTCAATTTATATATAGATCGATGACTTGGACGTCGTCGTTTAAAATGTTGTACCATTTTGTTGTGTTATGTTATGTTTCCACTTTGAGTTTTTGGCCATCACCAATCAATCCAGAGCCTGTCTTTGATCTAAGTCTTGAACTATAAATTGTGGTCAATGATTCTGGAACCAGTAAAAATTATTGTATTTTAACAGGTCATATACAATTATACATTGGAGTCAAATATTACAATAATAAAAGAGTTCTCAAGTTGAAATATTTTCTTTGAATTTGGGTGGTTTTTGTTTTTCTTTATAACCAAGTGTTATATAGTTAAAACTGATAAATAATGTTAAGAAGTTGTTAACATTGATGAACACATATGTTTTAGGTCTAAAATATATATTACAAGATCTATGTAATTTTCTCAAAAATAAACTTAATAGTTTCCTTTAGACTTGGTAGGATCTATAATCTATTATTAAAAGTCTATTACATGTGTCCCTCAATAATCTCAACTCTACACATTGTGTAGTGTCATATAAAACAATTTCTGAAAAGTTAAAACACAAATTGAATATTTCATGAGAAAAATACCATATAAAACCTTTTTCCTAGATATCTTCCTATACATTGCTATCATTTTATTTATGAATTTTTTTCTTGTGAGTTTATTTGACAAAAGCTATAAAATGAATTATTGAATTGAAGCCAAAATATTGTTGTTTTATCCTGCAAGTGTATTCTGTTCTGCGTTTACCAGTTCATGGCGGCCATAAACCCGAAGATTTCGTCAAACATGTTTGTTCTCTAATCTTTCCAACGACTTTCAAAACATTTACATATGCTCAAGTCATGCATATAATAATAACAAATCATTGAATCCTAATTATTCTTATTTTTATAACACAACCAAAACCAATAAGCCCTTTCGTCGTTACCCACTACCCATAATTTCATGTCATTACAAAACACAACAACACATCATTCATTTCATAAGATCATTACAACATCTCTCTGAATTCTTCTTTAATAATTTGTAACTTCGATCAAATATCTTAATAATGGGAGCGTACAGAGCCGACGACGACTACGATTATCTCTTTAAACTAGTCTTGATTGGAGATTCCGGCGTCGGAAAATCAAACCTCTTGTCTCGATTCACCAGAAACGAATTCAGCATCGAGTCAAAGTCAACCATCGGTGTAGAGTTCGCCACAAGAAGTGTTCATGTCGACGAGAAAATCATCAAAGCTCAGCTTTGGGACACCGCTGGTCAAGAAAGGTAATAAATCCTCGAGACCTCTCTGTTTATGCTTTTTTTTTTTTCATTCTTTGAACCAAACCAAACCAAACCGAAATGCTTGAACAAATATCAAACTGGATAGTTTTACAAATTTCTTGGTTTTTATTATTTTGAAACCCATTTATCCAAATATAAACTGATTTTAGTGTAACCAAACCAAAATTGAATTGAATAAACCAAAATTTTAAAGATTATCTACTTTGTATATGTATGGAAAACTGGAATAATTCTAGGGAGACTCACAAAAATGCCCCTTTTTCAATACCCCTTTTCAAAAATGCCCCCTTTGGCTGTCCATTTTTAAAAATACCCCTTTTTATGTACAAAATGACTAAATTACCCTTCTTTTAATAAAAGATATCACAAATATAACAAAATTAGATCCACAAAATACAAAATATTTTTTGGCGGGAAAAGTGATCCCTCAATTTTTCCCGCCAAAACACTTGTAAAAAACCTTTAAAATACCTTGTAAATTTTTCCCGTAAAATTTTTTCCCGCCAAAAAATTTTCCCGCCAAAAAAATTTTTTTGCGGGAAAAGTGATTCCGTAATTTTTTTGGCGTTAAATTTTTGGCGGGAAAATTTTTGGCGGGAAAAATTTACAAGGTATTTTAAAGGTTTTTTACAAGGTATTTATAAGGTTTTACAATGTATTTTAAAAGGTTTTACAACGTATTTATAAGGTATTTATAAGATATTATAAGATTTTACAAGCTATTTTATAAGGTTTTACAAGTTATAAGATTTTACAAGTTTTTTATAAGGTTTTACAAGTTTTTTACAAGTTATAAATTCCTTATAAAACTTTATAAGTACCTTGTAAAACCTTTTAAAATACATTGTAAAACCTTTCAAAACACTGAAAA